CCCCCAATAGCCAGCAATGGCACCAGCTGACTATATCGGGCCGTCGGAAACCACAGCCACTCGGTCTTGGATGGGTTGAGCCTGAGCCCGTTTCTCCCCATCCAGATCCGTACGGCCTCCAGGCACTGGGACATCACTTCAAGGGCATCGTTGGGGTGGTCCGGGGTGGAGATGTACAGCTGGGTGTTGTCAGCGTACTGATGGTACTTCACCCCGAAACCACGGATGATCTCGCCCAGCGGCTTTACATAAATGTTGAACAAAAGGGGCGAGAGAACCGATCCCTGCGGCACCCCACATGTAAGGGGCCTCGGAGTCGATCTCTGCCCCCCTGTCAACACAGACTGCGACCAGTCAGAGAGAAAGGAGGAGAACCACCGTAAAACGGTGCCTCCCACCCCCAACCCTTCCAGCCGGTGCAGCATGATATCATGGTCGATGGTATCAAAAGCCGCTGAGAGATCTAACAGGACCAGGACAGAGGAACAACCCCTGTCCCGAGCCCTCCAGAGATCATCAACCAACACGACCAATGCCGTTTCCGTGCTGTACCCAGGCCTGAAGCCCGACTGGAACAGATCCAGATACGACGCTTCATCCAGGTACTGGGGAAGCTGTCGCGCAACCACACTCTCAACAACCTTCGCAACGAAGCAAAGGTTGGAGACTGGACGATAATTAGCCAATACTGCCGGGTCCAGGGAAGGCTTCTTGAGGAGGGGCCTTACCACTGCCTCTTTCAGGGCGGTGGGGAAGACACCCTCACCCAACGAAGCATTTATAATCCCCTGGAGCCAGCCTCGCGTCACCTCCCGGGAAGCCAGCACTAACCAGGAGGGGCACGGGTCCAACAAACATGTGGTCGCATTCAATCTACCCAGAATCCTGTCCACGTCATCTGGGGTCACAGGATCAAACTCATCCCAGATAACAGCCTCAAGACCTGCCTCCGTCACCCTCGCTGGATCTATCCAGTTGGAGTCCAGACCTGCCCGAATCTGAGTGATTTTGTCATACAGATACTGAACAAAATCCTCGGCTCTTCCCTCCAAGGGGTCCTCCCGCGCTTCCTAGTGGAGCAGGGAGCGGGTCACCCTAAACAGGGCGGCCGGGCGATTATCTGATGGCGCAATAAGAGCAGCAAAATGAGTGCATTTTGCTGCTTTTATCGCCACTAGGTAACTCCTAATATGAGATCTTACCAGTGTTCGGTCGGATTCAGAAAGACTAGCCCTCCAACAGCTCTCTAGGTGTCTTTTCCGGCGCTTCATCTCCCACAGCTCCTCAGTAAACCAAGGAGCCAGGCAAGATCGGCGCCGGGTCAGAGGCCGCAAAGGCACGACTCGGTCCAGGGCTCCAGCAGCCGCCCTATCCCAGGCGGCCACTAGGTCTCCAGACAAGGCGTGAGCCAGAACCTCCGGGATTGGCCCAAGCTCCATCTGGAACCTATCAGGTTCCATCAGGCGCCTGGGGCGGTACCATCTTATCGGTTCCGCCTCCCTGCAGTGGGGTGCCGCGGTTCGAAGGTCAAGGCGATGGAGCGAGTGATCTGACCATGACAAGGGCTCGATGACTATATCCCCTATCTCGAGATCACTCAACCACTGTCCAGAGACAAAAACCAAGTCCAGTGTGTTTCCCCCAGTGTGCGTAGGGCCATGAATTAGTTGGGTCAGGTCCATGGCCGTCATGGAAGCCATGAACTCCCGAGCCACCTCAGACGCCTCACCCACGGATGGCAGGTTGAAATCCCCCATGACCATAAGTCTGGGGGTATCAACCGCCACCGCGGCAATAACGTTGAGTAGCTCGGGCAGGGCTGCTGCCACATGGCAGGGAGCCAGGTACGTGATCAGCAAACCCATCTGAACCCCGTGGCCCCACTTCACAAGGAGGGACTCACAACCGGCCGTCTGAGGAACAGTGGTCTCCCTTGGCCTAAGGCCTTCTCTAATAATAACCGCTACTCCCCCGCCCCTCCCCTGTGACCTCGACTGATGGAATGCGTGGAAACCTGGTGGGCACATTTCTTCCTCCGGGCCCAGCCAGGTCTCCGTAATACCCGCCAGGTCCGCTCCCCCCTCATAAACAAGATCACAGATGAGGGGGGCTTTATTTACTACGGACCTGGCGTTGCACAGCATCAGACGAAGGCCCGGGCCCTGAAGGTCTGTACTACCTGGAGAACGAGTGGAGCCTTGGGGGCCGGAGCACCCTACTGCTTGAAGACAGCGGGTGCGTGCTCCCTTAACATGATATGGCCCCCTGCTCCCGCCATATCTACCCCTCCCACACACAGTACCGATGGTAAAAACACAGTCTGGACCAGCTCGACCCCCTCCGGATCCCCCACCCCCCCGCCGAACGTCCTGGCCAAGCCCGACCCTCCCCTTGGTGGGTTATCCCCCAAACCCACAGCCCTAATTCCAATCCCACCCCCCTCCCCCCTCCCCTGACCCCTTAAAAGTTTAGACAAGGACAATTTTAAAAAACCCCGCAAAGATTGGCAAGGATGTATGCAAATCTTAACCCAACATGTTGGAAATGTAAGCAAGCACAGGGAACCTTCTTTCATGTCTGATGGCTTTGCCCAAAAATTAAGAAATATTGGATAAAAATAAAAATTTGGGTATCAGAAATAATTGCGGAAGATATTGAACTAAAACCAGAAATCTTTTTGTTAGGAATGCTTAAACAAAACATTAGAAAAGAAAAAAAGTACCTAATATTACATATAATCACGGTGGCTAGGTTAGTCCTAGCACAAGTCTGGAAAACAGATCAATTGCCAACGGAGCAGCAAATAATTCAAAAAAATTATACATGTGCAGAAATGGATAGACTAACGTTGAAATTGAAAGAAAAGGAAAACACAGTATTTTAAGGTATGAGTGGATGAACCAATGGAAAAGAAGGTAAAGTCAAAATTTAGTAAATTAAAAGTAATAATTATACACCGTCATTAAGATAAAAAAGGATATAAGTTACTGTGTATAGTTGTACTTATATATATCACATATACTTAGTTTGTTGTGATTAGTATTGTTGATTGTATTTTAAGGTTGTGAATGTTTTATATAATTTTATCTTTTTAAATTTAATAAAGTTTGTTTTTTAAAACCAAAAAAAAAAAAAAGAGTTGTTAACCTAATCTTACAAAGCTTCTTCTTCGGTAATATTGTACTGCAAACTAGGGCATACAAAACCTTTGCTAGACCAATTCTCAAATACAGCTCATCTGCCTGGAACCTGCACTGTATATCAGACATTAATACAATTGAGTGAGTCCAGAGGTATTTCACGAGAAGAGTACTCCACTCCTCTGCTCACAACAGAATACCTTATGCCACCAGGCCTGAAATTTTGGGCTTAGACAACTTACAACTATGCCGCCTTCAGTCTAACCTAAGCATAGTACACAAAATTATCTGCTACAACGTCCTAGCTGTCAATGACTATTTCAGCTTCAACCGCAATAATACACGAGCACACAATAGATATAAATTTAAGATAAACACAATTGCAGAAAATACAACTTCAGCAACAGAGTGGTCAATGCCTGGAATGCACTACCTGACTCTGTGGTTACATCCCCAAGCCCCAATAACTTTAACCTTAGACTATGTACTGTTGACTTCACCCCATTCCTAAGAGGTCTGTAAGGGGCGTGCATAAGCACACCAACATGCCTACCATCCCTATCCTACTATCCCCATTTATTCATATCCATTTCCTGTATTCATAAGCATGTTTATACTTATATCTGTTATTTTATACATGTTTGATTGATAATAAATAAACAAACAAACAAACAAACAAAGAGAGAAGCAACTTGGAAATAAGGAGAAATTTCCTAACAGTGAGGAGAATTAACCAGTGGAACAGTTTGCCTTCAGAAAGCGTGGGCACTCCATCACTAGAGGTTTTTAAGAAACTGAACAGCCACTTGTCTGAAATAGTATAAGTCTGTGATGGTGGTGAACCTATGGCATGCATGCCGGAAATGGCAAACAGAGCCATCTCTCCAGGCATGCCAGCCGTCACCCATTGCTCTTCTGGATTCCAGCGCGCACATGCACGCCAGCCAGCTGGTTTTTGCATGCACAGGAGCGCTGGAAACAGGAAGAGCAGCTCCCTGGCGCATGCCGGGAAACTGAGCTTCTGGTTTCCAGCATGCACATGCGCACCGGCCAGTTGGTCTTCGTGCATACATGCGTGCCAGAAACCGGAAGACCAGGTGACCAGCGCACGTGCACATGCCAGAAACCAGAAGCTCAGCTTCCCGGCATACGCATTTGCTCCAGGGAGCTGCTCTTACAGTTTCTGGTGCTCCCATGTGTGCGCACCAGGGAGCTACTCTTCCGGTTTTAGGCGCTCCCCAATGTGCACGCGCACACTCTCGTTTCGGCACTCAGTGCCGAAAAGATTTGCTAACACTGGTATAGGTTTTCCTGCTTGAGTAGGGGGCTGGACTAGAAGACCTCCAAGGTCCCTTCCAGCTTCTATTCTATTCTATTCTATTCTATTCTATTCTATTCTATTCTAATTATTAAAATATATGGAGATAAACAATAGCTTATATTTCTTTTTATTTAAAAATTATCAGTTTAATGGGTTAGGGATATGTAAATAAAATTTGCTGACATAGAATATCTGTCTGAAAACAATAGTTATAATGTACCCAACAAATAATGGGTTATTATTTGCCACTTTCATTTCTTGCTTCTAAGTTTCCCCAAAGTATGTGGTTGACCCTTATCAACAACTGAATGGTTACTTGGTGAGTTCAGTGTGGAAATTTTCTAATTTTAGCATTCAGGAAACTCCCTTTCAGTTTGGGCCATATTAAAAGGGGATTATAGGAATTGTAAGGCAATAGATCTGGAGATGGATAACCTAAAAGCTAAGTAATGTGACTTGCTTTTACATTCTGAATTTAATTTCAGCAGTTGGTATAGTCAGGCGAAAACAAAAATTGATGAAAGCTTTATCTGCTTCAGACATACCATGAAAATATCTTCTATATCCCCTGAAGTAACACGCTCCTTTTGCAGTAAATTTCCCTGCAAGCCAAGGTAAGAATACATTTCTATAACTGCTTATTCAGATGTAGACCTACTGAAGTGTTGGCTTATGAAAGTGCTAGCAAAGTGATGTTTTCGTGCTTTCACAACCATGTTGGTATGATTGATGTATTTTCTTCTTTTCTCCTTTTCTAGCATCAAACTTTTGGCTGTGCAGGAGTTGATTGATAGAGATGCACTTGAGAAGGTATCTTTTACTCTTTCTGTAGAGCAGCACAAATCCTTCTGTTAGTATTTCTGTTTCTATTTACTGCTACTGATGTCTTACAAGCATATACTTATACTTCAGATTATACAATGTGAATGTGTACAACCAGGTCCCCAAAGACTATTTTCTTTGTTGCATTCACAATCTAATTAGATGGAGATTTGAAGCAAGGACTACATTTCGCCATTCAGTGGCATATTTGGAACTCCCCTCCCTTCCAGGGTCAAACCATAATAAAAACAAAATTGGATTTCATTTTAATTGCATATTCGTTTTAATAGCATTAAACATAATGTAATTTCTTTCCGTTCTTCATTTTATAATTTCTTTTTAATAGCACATTAAAATAATGATTTGGTAATAGATTTCGGAGGTTTCTGAAGGGGTCAGTTGCATTAAACATTGTGACATGTGTGACATGTAGCTATGATTATTTGTTTAGTGATCGTTCAAAGTTGTGAAAAAAGTGACATGACTAGTCCTTATAGTCGTAAGTACTTACAGCCATCAAAGCATCCTGAAGTCATGTGATCAGAATCTAGGCACTTGGGAAATAGTATATACCGTATTTTTTGGAGTATAAGACACACTTTTTTCCCCCATAAAAGAGAGTGAAAAGTTGGTGCATCTTGTACACCGAATGTAGCCCTGCCCACCTGCTGGCCCCCCTGAAAATGGGGCGTGCGGAAGTGGCAATAGGCTATGGCAATTCCTGCAGCCTGAAACAGCTGATTTTTGGGAGACTGATCCAACCAGCAGTCAGCTGCTTGTGCTAATCAGGCTGTGCTGAAGCTGAAATTGAAACAGGCTGTTTGCTGCAAGGAGGCAAATTACTGGGAGGCAGAGGCAGATTTTTTTTCTTGTGCTAATCAGGCTGTAATGAAAATGAAAATGAAACAGGCTGTTTGCTGCAAGGAGGCAAATTGCTGGGAGGCAGAGGCACTTGTTTTCCTCCCCCAAAAAGGTAGGTGTGTCTTATAGTCTGGAGCATCTTATACTCCGAAAAACACAGTATTTATGATTGTTGCAGCATTCTGCAGTCACACAATCACCATTTAAGATTTTCCTAGGGAACTTCTGATAAGCAGAGTCAATGAGAAAGGCTGGGTTTGCTTATTGACCATGGCAAAAAAGCTTGTAAAATCAGACCCAGCTCACTTGGTAGCCACATTACCTTAGGGATAAGACGTTCTGGTTTCAATTGTGGTCATAGATTGGAAACTACTTGTATGCAATAAACCCACATCCAAGGAATCCTGAGATGAACTTCAAAGCAATCTGAAATATGACCCAGGCAATAGTGCAGAGAAAACACTAGAGGGAGATTAAGAATGCATGAAAAATTGTTGTTTTTAATTCTTTGGATTTTCTCATAGCCCCTTGGCTTTTCTGCCTTGTGAAAAACAGGGGCATTAAACCAAACCAGTGGGTTCTGCAAACCAATCTTTCCAGGCCTTCTTATGGGAGGGTAGAAGAGTTTACAAAGTGTAATTCTTTCATTTTGTTGCTTTGCTGTTTCAGTATACTTTTTCTTCCATATCTGGCACTGAATAGATAGACTGAGTTTTGAATATTTAAAGTCTTGAGAGCAAATGCATTGGCAGTGATTCCTTCCCAATCCAGTCAGCTTCACAATACATATCAGCCAGATCAACATTACATCTTGATTAAACTTATTTTATTTTTGTTAATTCAGCATTAGTCTCGCTGCCCAGTAGCCTGTTCATGAGATGACTGTTAAGCAGAAAAGAGTGCTCCTGAATTAAAAATAGAACCCCTGCTTTGGTTTGGCTTAAACTGTAAAGGTGGCAGTAATGCAGTGTGCGTGACAGATATTATTAACATCTATAATATGGGTATAACCTATGCATGGACAAATAAAGAGGAAAATGGAACCGATAATTAATCCTTAAGGGAACTGATTCATAATCTCTGGCTTTATTGTCATAGTAACTAGAGCTCTTTGGACTTTTCAGTTAAGCATTTTTCCATAAAGGAAGTAAGTTTAGTGACAGTCTTGGAAATTCAACTCCACCTCTGGTTTCAGTGCCTTTGTTTTAAAGGAGTAATAATTTCCTTTATCAGAATTAAATTTGCATGGTATTCAAAGCAAACTGAGACTGTGTTTTCCTATGTAAATTTGGACTTAAGTAATAGGTCTTTATCACTCATGAGGTTTAATTGGGTTTTTTTTATTCAGTCCTCAAAATCCATTCATAGCTGCTGACAACTAAATAGCATTGTTTCCTGATCTTAGAAGGTGGAAAAAAATGCATCACTAGTGGTATAAACCAGTGGTGAAATTCAATTTTTTTTTAAACTACTGGTTCTGTGGGCGTGGCTTGGTGGGCTTGGCAGGGGAAGAATACAAAATCCCCATTCCCTCCCCACTCTGGGACCAGCCAGAGGTGGTATTTGCCGGTTCTCCAAACTGCTCAAAATTTCCGCTACTGGTTCTCCAGAATCTGTCAGAACCTGCTGGATTTCACTCCTGGTATAAACCTATTTAAATAATACACCAATTATTGTTTTTAAAATAGATGTATACACACACAAACACAAACCACCTGAAGGCCAGACAAGTAATAATGGACAGAAACTGATCAAGGAGAGATTCAACCTAGAAATAAGGAAAAATTTTCTGACAGTGAAAACAATCAACCAATGGAACAGCTTGCCTTCAGAAGTTGTGGGAGCTTCATCACTGGAAGCTTTCAAGAAGAGACTAGACTGCCATTTATCAGAAATGGTGTAGGGTCTCCGGCTTGGGTGGGAGGGTTGGCCTAGATGACCTACAAGGTCCCTTCCAACTCTGTTAATCTAAAGTAATCACCTTCTTCTCAAATCACAGGAAAATAGGTCTTTTGGCCTTGCATGTTTATACAACCACTATACTTTCAGACTCCCAAGAAATGGTAAAATAGCTTCCAGACACCAAGAAATAGTTACCTCTTCTGCTTTAAATAACTGCTGTGATTAACGTCAGAATTGTTCTCATCGTCAGTCATAAAAGCAGATTTTTCACAGTATTGTTCCCTTCTGAATTTTTTTCTTAAATTTAATACTTCTGATTGCTTGGTCAGATATGGGCTGGAGTTTAGTCAGTTTAGTTCACAAATCCTAATCAAAACTGACTAAACTGGAATGCACTGTACTTTTGAAATAGTGACAATGGCAGAGTGTGATTGCACAGCTATATCTGATGTGCTTGCTAGACTGTTCCTGAACTAAGCACGTCTGGCAACAAGTGTTAATGTTGTAGTTCTGTAGAGATTTCTGCAATTTCTATAAATAGTACCCAGAGTGTTTAGGAACATCTGTTACTGCAAAAGTAGCATTAAATATTAATTTACTAATCCTTCATGACCATCTTGAAAGAGTTTAATGCAGGGGTGTCAAACTCAATTTCATTGAGGGCCGCATCAGGATCGGCAGTTTGGAAATTCATTTATTTTGAGATAGCATCGAAACCTGACACAGGGTTGTGTTCGACCTTGGGGAGCCGGGTGGATGTGGCCAGGGTGGGCATGACCAGCTCGACATCACTCATGTCAGGAGCACCTGTGGTGTCCTGGCTGGGCTGGGGGGGATTCATTGTCTCCAGTGGAGGAATGCAAGATTAGGGAGAGCACCAAACTTGCCGTCCAGAGGAGTCTCGCTGTCCCTTTCAGGCCATGCGGAGGACCCCCGGATGGAGACACAGGCTAACCAGAGCCCTAGGTAGCAGAGGGCAAGTGCCAGAATATCCTTGAGCTACCAGGGCATCAGGACCCCACAGCTCAGCCCATCCCAGTCCCACTTCCCTGAGGGGTTGCCCAGCTGCACTTACCTCCTCCTCACGGCTGCTGCTGCTGTTGTTCTTGCTCTCCTTGGCCAGGTTGCTCATGGTGTGTGCAGGAGGGCAAAGTGTGTGGGTCAGAGGGAGTCCCACTCCCTCTCCACACAAGGAGACCTGACTTTGTAATTAAAGCATCCTCAGAGATAGGATGTGAGATCACCAGGAGAGGTCAGCAGGAAGAGACAAGGAGATGGTGAAAGGGAACCAGGCTGCTGGTGGCCAAGTGCTAAGGCAGGACTTCCCTCAGACCCTCCCTCCCACTCCCTCCCTCCTCTTCTTTTTCCTTCCCTCTTCATTCTCCTTTCTTCTTCCTTCCCATCTTTCCTTCTTTTTCTTTTTCTTTTTTTTCCTCTTTCCCTTTCTCCTTTCCTGTCCTTTCTTGGATGCTCAAATGCAAAAGGGGAAACATTTCTCAATGCCTCCCTGCCTTGTGATCAAATGCCACTTTTGTTAGTAGTTTGTTTTGCTAGCACAGTGAAATTGTAGCTGGGGGTGGCACATGTGGCCCTCACAAGTTCCGTTTTTGGCCACGATGGCCTCCTGCAGCCCTCTGCCAGCGATAACAGCTTGGGGAAGCTGCGCACGCCCCCCCCCATCTTCATTTTCACTGGCAGAGGCCCTGCCGCCCGGACCGTCACTGTTTCCAGGGCAGCCACATGGGCCAGATCTAAGCACCCGCGGGCTGAATTCAGCCCGCAGTCTTTGAGTTTGACACCTCTAACCTAAGTGCTTAATATTTTTATAATCATTAATTGTTTTCTTATTATGATTTAAGATCTTAATTCTAACCTCTAAAGCTAGATGTGAAATAAGGCCTGATTATCTAAGGATAAATATGTATAAAACTGCAAATTTAATTTGGTTTCTTTGCCATTCTCTTGAATGTTGAAGTCATTATTTAATCCTCATATCAGGAAAGTTGTAACTTGTGTTAACCAACCCTTCCATTTTACAAGGAAGAGACAATTGATGCTAAATTTATGTTGCTTTACTGAACTATATATTAACAATTCTGTTGTTTAACATTCAAATGAAATCCCTAATTTGGATACCTTGGAATAACTCCAGAATCATTCCTACTTTGTGTTCGAGAGAAGAAATCCAAGTAGTTGTTCTGTTTCTTTCTTTTTTTTTTTTTTTGTTTCATAAGAAATCCTAAAACTCATAGGACATGATGAAACTTCAGAGTTTGCAAACACTGCAGATGCATATCAGGTTCAATTTTGTGTAATTCATTTGGCTTGCTTATTGTGTCTAGCTAAGATTAATTGTTAAACAATCTAACCAAAACATACTGTATTAGTACACATTGTCTTCAGTTTGTGCAATTTGCTAGTTTATCAAGTTGAATCAAATTGAAATTAATTAAACCAAGCTGACCTGATAAAAGTGTATCCTTACACAACCTTTCAGTTGCCCATTTTTAATTTAGCACTTAAATTTAAGCTTTATGGTAATAAGTTCCTATCGACTGTTCCTGCAATATAAATTACAAACTTGTGACTGTTGTTTTGGGGAATGTTTAACAATTTGCTGGAGATTTTAGTTAATGTTTCCTCTGTTTAAGCTTTTAATAACATTGTAGGCAAATGTAGGCACTGTCTGTAGCACAAGATGTAAAGGTGTAAAGAAAGATGGCAAAATAGTCCTATAAAGCATGCTGCATGGATTTCTTTCTTTCTTTCTATCTACCTATCTACCTACCTACCTACCTATCTATCTATCTATCTATCTATCTATCTATCTATCTATCTAATACAAAATACAAAGTAAATAGAAAAACAGTGGGGGACAGGAGAAAGAGAAGTGAGGAAAGATAAGAAAAAGAAAGAAAAAGAAGCAATGATTTCCAACTCTCTGTTACAGTAAAATAAGGCATTAACATCAAATCACAGCTTTTTGCTTTTTCATAATAATATGAACAAGCCATTTCTATAAAGATCTATCAGTCTAATTGGTAAAAACCAAAGTCAGAGTTTCATTCTTTTCCACATCAAACACAAAGTTCAGAAGTGGTCTCCATGTGGAAACAAAAGTACTTACGTTCTTTTCTTCAATCAGAGTGGTCAGTTTTGCCATTTGAGCAACTCCAAGGCTGCATGGATTTCTTGAAATCTATAGGTCGTTCTTGGATTACCACCATTAGTTCAGTGACCATTCAAAAGTTTCAGAAATGATTGATCCTTGGCTTACAATTACAATTGCAGCAAGCCAAAATCATGTGAGATCCTTGCTTAACACTTCAAGGTCCTTGCTTAATGATGGCAACCGGGACTACAGGGACTGTGTAATTATAGATAGTAGCAAACTCCAGCAGCAATCTCTCAAATCTCTGTATTTGTTATGGTCCTACTGAATAGAAGGGGAATTACCCAAAGCCTTTCTGCTTAGTCATCAAAGTATCTAGCCCTAAATCATCTTTAAATTTGACTGTTGCTTAATTTGTTTTCTTTGGGTATGCAAATAAACATTTGAGTAATATTAAAAAATGCAATTCTTTAAAAATGTTTCACTGAAAGAAAAAAATGCTTGTCCCTTTACTTTTCCCTATGGGATTTAAGAGTGACCTAGAAATGCTCCAGTATAATGAACTTCCTCTCTTCCCATCCAACTTTTTACAGTTTTGCATGGAGTTAAATCAGCCAACTCTGCCAAACATCCGCAAATGGAAGGGCCCTCGAGGATGTTGGAAGGGAAGCATTTCAGAGAAGCTCTCAGGGCACCCCGAGAAGGTAGTCTGGTGCAAGTAAAAAATTGTGGAGTTTCTATAAGTTTTGCTTTTACCTAGCTAAGAAAATCATTTTTACAGATTTTTGAATTACTGAAAAAGAGTATTTTTCTTTTTGAGCTTCTGTAGTTTTATTTGAACTAAGGATAGTATTTCTCCTGATCGTTTGAAGTGACTTTTTGTAACTTTCTTTCCAATGCACCATAACTGATTTCAGAAGGTTCTATGGTTGGGCTGTAGAGATTTTTAAAATTCCATTTTAGCTATGTCTACATGCAAGTATTTCATTTTGGATCTTGAAATCTTAATCCAGTGACTTGTAGTAGTCTATATACTGAATTCATACAAAAACACTTACAAAAATAAGAATCACAGAAATTCCATTTGTAATTAAAAAGTAATCATTTTTATAATTAACCAATTCAAACTCAATCCAAACAAAATTCATATCTTCAGCTCTTTGTTCGGTAGCCTTCATCAAGTGCGTGCTTGTATTTATATTACCGTGTTTCCCCGAAAATAAGACCCTGTCTTATATTTTTTTGAACCCTGAAATAAGCGCTTGGCTTTATTGCCATGCACTCAAAAGCCTGATTGGGCTTATTATCAGGGGATGTCTTATTTTGGGGGAAACAGGGTATTATTTGCTTTATAGTATTTATATTCCGTGCCAATCAACAGATTCTAAGAAGCGTACAAATGAAATAAGACCCTAACTACTCACTCAGCCTACCATATTTTTTGGTTTATAAAATGCACTCCCCCCCCCCCCAAAGTGGGTAGAAATGTCTTATAGACTAGCTGGCTGGGTGTCCTGGCAGAGCACAGCATGGAAGCCATGTACAAGTATCCTTGATCCCATCCACATTTGGGGGGGGGGGAGGTTGAAAGCATATGTGAGAATGGCCTTGGGGGGCTGGGAGGAAGATCGGAGGCGGTGATAGGTGGCAGCAATGATGGGCAGTCGCAATCCCCGCAGCCTGGAACAGTTGATCGGCAGTATTCCGGGAGGCCGATGCAACTGCCAATCAGCTGCTCATGCTAAATCAGGCTGTGCTGAAGCTGACCAGGCTGTTTGCTGCAAGGAGGCAAATTGCTGGGAGGCAGAGGCAGATTTTTTTTTTCTTGTTTTCCTCCCCAAAAGCTAGGTGCATCTTATGGTCCGGAGCATCTTATAGGGCGAAAAATATGGTATATAAAACATCAGCTTAGATTGGATTCAAAATTAATGATGCTTAGATTGGCTGATTGGAATTAATTTAGTCATTTTTAATGATGAATTGTTTGGTTTAGTTTTCTCTTTTGGCTTTCAGCATGTAGAATATTCTGGCTTCCTGTGGGACACAACTGCAGGGATAGACCTGAAAGAAGCTACTTTCTCTGAAGGCCCACACACAAATGACAGTGGGAAACAGATTCATCCTCATCCTTACATTGTACATTTCAAGGTAAGACTTCACTTTCCCAACTGGAAGAATTCAAGAAAGGGTCAGAAATTAAATGGCACAGGCATGCTTTTTAAAGTTTCATTGAGCAATTTAAAATGGTAACATTGTCTCCTGGGTTTATAGCACAGGTGAAATTCAGCCGGTTCTCACCAGTTCTCCCGAACCGTTAGTAAATTGCTTAGGCAGTTCGGCGAACCAGTTAAAAATAAAGTGCAAGAGAGGCTCTCTCTCTCTCTCTCTCTCTCCCCCCTTCAGTTAATAGCTCCACTTAACAGCTGCAGCTGAAATGCAGCCAATACACACTGAATCAAATCAATAAACAACAGAAACTGACAGGATTAGGGAGGGAAACCCATCAATCACCCATCTAGGGATGGGATTATCCTCTTCCCTTCAGGAAAAAGGACAAGATTACAAACATTTTCATTATAAAGAGTATTAAGTAACACTTCTGTGATCAACTGATACTCCCTGGAGTTTCCCAAGACCTTTTATAGCTGCTGCAGTGTTGACTACTTCTTGTTTCTTCCTGGGAGAAAAGATACAGGAGGGGACAATGATGCAGCTTGATCATACAGGCAGTGAATTTAATGCATGTGTGGTCCAACCAGCTCTATTGCTTCTGCTGAGAAGTACCCAATTTAGAACATAGAGAACATAGAATAATAGAGTTGGAAGAGTTAATGGCTTTTGGCAGCACACCCAGACTTTCAATTAGCCTGAACAGCTGCTCTCAGCTGCTGCATTTGCTTTGGGGTTGACTTTTTTTTAAAAGGGGAATGGCTGTTTTAAGTTTTCTGCATTGTTTTAGTGGTTCCTGGTACTGTCCTTTTGGGGTATACTTTCCTCACTCTTTTTGAAAGCCTCTAGTCATGGAGCACCCACAACTTCTGAAGGCAAGCTATTCCATTGGTTGATTGGTCTCACCCTTTGGAAATTTCTCCTTAGTCCTAGGTTGCTTCTCTGTTTGATAATTTCCATCCATTGTTTCTTGTTGTGCCTTTGGGTGCTTTGGAAAATAGATTGACTCCCTCATTTTTGTAGGAGCCCCTCAAATTTCCTGACAGAACAATTACTCAGTGAATCAACTTGCCTCCAGAAGTTGTAAATGCTCCAATACTGGAAGTTTTTAAGAAGAGATTGGATAATCATTTGTCTGAAGTGGTGTAGGGTTTCCTGCCTAAGTAGGAGGTTGGACTAGAAGTCCTCCAAGGTCCTTTCCAACTCTGTTATTCTATTCTATTCTAAATATTGGAACAGTGCTAATTTATTGTGAGTTGGACCAGGGGTGAAATCCAACATTTTTCCCTACCGGGAAAAATGTGACTGGGTGGGTATTAGTCTAATCAAAGAGACAAGCAACCTAGGACTAAGGAGAAATTTCCTAAGGGTGAGCCAATCAAGTTGGCCACACCCACTCAGTCACATGACCCATTTCCCACAGAAAACACCGGGAGCCACAAAACCTGGGCAGGTGTGGCTGGGGGGGTATATGACTGTGTGGGAGTGACATTGAGTTGGCCACACCCACCCACCCAGTTGCATGACCACCAAGCCACACCTGCAGAACTGGTAGAGAAGAATTTTGGATTTCACCCCTGGTTTATAGTCTTGCCTTAGATATATTGTAATAAAAATTGTTAGTAATGTATTTTCCAAAAGATACAAAACTAAAGCAGAGGTCTGTTTGTGGTTATTAAAAAGAATGTGTTTCTTTGCAAATCAGAAATGATTGTATTGTATTGATGAGCACAGATGAGCACAGTGGTGAGCAATCGGGAGAGATCTTTTATTTGTGATGTATTTGTGAACAGACCCTTGAAAATCTCTTAATGCTGCCTATGCTTGTTCCTAGATTGGAATGAATAATTTAATACTGGCTAACTTGCATTTAATGCCATTGCCATCTACTGGGGAAAATTCTGTGAAGAATCAAAATAGTCATAAATTAGCAGTCTTTGCACATACTATACAGGAAACACTGAAAGGTAAGACCAGCTGATAAAAATGTTAAATAATGTTGAAGAGGATCCATCTCTCCTTTGGTATTCACCAGACTTCCCTTGGCACCTTCTAGATGCATTGGATTTCAATTAAAAAGTATGGATAAAAATCCTCCTTTCTTTTTAAAAGCCAACTTTTCATTAGCTAATGCTAAATTATGTCAAAACATTATTTACTGAGTGGTTTAACTGGCATATTTTATCTTTAATCAAAAATTAATGTATATTGTAAGTCATTGCACTGATTAGATATTGGAAGAATAAGGTTTATAGAACCCATAGATTTTGGTATGGATTTAATTTAGAAAATAAGAGTCTGTATATTCTGAAAGACATACATACTCTCTCTGTGTGTGTGTCCGTCTGTCTGTCTGTCTGTCTGTGTCTCTTTGTGTATTCTTATAATAAACTAATTAGGGTCAAGGTCAATCTGTAAAAATGTGGTGAGGCAGAGGGAAGTAGCCTAGCATCTATGCAAAGCAGGCACCACAACTATCAATTATGAAAAGCATATTCTTCTTAATTTTAGAGCTAGTTTTTATTTATTTATTTTATTTTATTTTATTTATATACCGCCTTTCTCCCGAAGGACTCAGGGCGGTGAACAGCCATAATAAAAACAATGTACAAAATAGAATTTAAAAGCAGATTAAAATAATTAAATCATAGGCCGAATTTAAAACTCTCATTTTAAAACCAATTTTAAAACCCCATTAAAACCAAATTAAAATCATTTATCCCATCAGAGTGGCTTGCTGGAATAACAGGGTCTTCATTGCACGACGGAAGGCGCAGAGATCGGGGATCCTTCGTATGTCTGGGGGTAATTCATTCCAGAAGGCAGGGGCCCCCACAGAGAAGGCTCTTCCCCTGGGGGTCACCAGTCTACATTGTTTGGCTGACAGCACCCTGAGAAGGCCCTCTCTGTGTGAACGTACCAGTCGGTGGGAGGCAATCGGTGGCAGAATGCGGTCTTGTAGATAGCCAGGTCCTAAGCCATGAAGCGCTTTAAAGATGGTAACCAACACCTTGAAGCACACCCGGAAGACCACCAGGAGCCAGTGCAGCTCGCGTACGAGGGGTGTTACATGGGAGCGACAGGTTGCCCCCATTATTACTCGCACGGCCGTATTCTGGACCAACTGGAGCCTCCGGGTGCTCCTCAAGGGGAGCCCCACGTAGAGAGCATTACAAAAGTCCAAACGGGAAGTGACGAGGGCGTGAGTGACTGCGCAAGGCGTCCCGATCCACAAAGGGGTGCAACTGGGAAATCAGGCGAACCTGATAAAAAGCCCCCCTGGCCACAGCCGTCATATGATCATCCAAAGACAACTGTGAGTCCAGGAGGATGCCCAAGTTGCGAGCCCTCTCTGAGGGGGGTAAGATCTCATCCCCAATAGTTAGCGATGGTGTGAGCTGGCTATATCGGGACGCCGGAAACCACAACCACAGTCTTGGAGGGGTTGAGTCTGAGCCTGTTCCTCCCCATCCAGATCCGCACAGCCTCCAGGCAATGGGACATCACGTCAAGGGCATCATTGGGGTGGCCTGGGGTTGAAATGTACAACTGCGTGTCATCTGCATACAGTTGACACTTCACCCCAAAGCCACGGATGATCTCGCCCAGCGGCTTCACATAAATGTTAAACAGGAGGGGCGAGAGAACAGATCCCTGCAGCACCCCACAAGTGAGGAACCTCGAGGTCGACCTCTGCCCTCCCATCAACACAGGCTGCATACGGTCAGAGAGGAAGGAGGAGAACCATCGTAAAATGGTGCCCCCCACTCCCAGCCCCTCTAGCCGACACAGCATGATACCATGATCGATGGTATCAAAAGCCGCTGAGAGGTCTAGGAGGACCAGAACAGAGGAGTAACCCCTGTCCCGAGCCCTCCAGAGATCCATCAACCAATGTGATCAATGCCGTTTCCGTGCTGTAACCCAATGTCAGGTATGCTTCCTTCAAATTCCAGGAAAGAATGACCCAAACTCCATTTTTATAGAGATTAGTACTTTTACTGAAAATGAAGCGATCACTACCCAGGTAAAGCTGGGACTACCGTATTTTCCGGCGTATAAGACGACTTTTTAACCCAGGAAAATCATCTCAAAAGTCGGGGGTCGTCTTATACGCCGGGTACCCGAATCTGAGTTGCTGGCGCTGACCGATGACACTTTGGGAGCGCCGGCAACATTGAGGGGAAGCTGTACTCCAAATTAGTTCCAACCTACAAGAGGTGCCAGGCAGTGCGCGGCCCACGAGAAAGGAACGTGTCCCCACTCTACCCCAGAATTCGGGTCACCTTCCTTTCTTTCCCAGCAGTCCACGGTGAAAGTGGCGCCACGGTCAACCTGGGCCAGTGCCTTGCACACCTGGCTCTGCGTCCCCATTATGAGAAGCTCCATCCGACTTCGCATGTCTCCGCCCCAGTCGCGCAGCTCTCGCAATCCGCTCACCGGAGGAGCCATGAAGTGCTCGCACCGCCTTGCCAGATCTTCCTCGTCCTCTTTTCCCCATGGCTTTTCCGGTTGTAATTGTTGCTGCTGCTGCCACCGAGGCTGCTCCTTCATCTCCGCCCGCCGCACCAGACCCAGCCCGGCCAACACCGCTGTGGCTCCCGCAGTCCAAGCAGATTGGCACCCGGGCTCGCAGGCGAAGGGTGGGAGTGCACAGCGCACTTTCCTGGCTTGGCGCCGATCCGGACGGCTGCAGAAGGAACTGGGCACTGGCTGTCATGTCTTTTCTGCTGTGCGGGATTCGGCACCTGGGCTCCCGGGGTTTAAGCCTCCGGGCCGGCCCGCGCTGCTCCAGGATGTTTGCTTCGGGCTCCTTGGAATCGTTGCCGGGCAGTTCTTCCCGTTGGGGCGATGGTGGGTGGCAGCGATCGGCGTCGCTTGGACTGCGGGAGCCACGGCGAGCTCCTTCCCCATGAGGTATTGCTCTGCATTTCACCACCTCTTCCAGGCTCGCAGCCACCCACCATCGCCCCAACGGGAAGAACCGCCCGGCAGCGATTCCAAGGAGCCCGAAGCGAACATCCTGGAGCAGCGCGGGCCGGCCCGGAGGCTTAAACCCCGGGAGCCCAGGTGCCGAATCCCGCACAGCAGAAAAGACATGACAGCCGGTGCCCAGTTCCTTCTGCAGCCGTCCAGATCGGCGCCAAGCCAGGAAAGTGCACTGTGCACTCCCATCCTTCGCCTGCGAGCCCGGGTGCCAATCCGCTTGGACTGCGGGAGCCACGGCGGTGCTGGCCGGGCTGGGTCTGGTGCGGCGGGCGGAGATGAAGGAGCAGCCTCGGTGGCAGCAGCAGCAGCAATTACAACCGGAAAAGCCATGGGGAAAGGAGGATGAGGAAGATCTGGCAAGGCGGTGCGAGCACTTCATGGCTCCTCCGGTGAGCGGATTGCGAGCGCTGCGCGACTGGGGCGGAGACATGCGAAGTCGCATGGAGCTTCTCATAATGGAGACGCAGAGCCAGGTGTGCAAGGTGCTGGCCCAGGTCGACCGCGACGCCGCTTTCACCGTGGACCTCCTTGGAATGCTGGAACCAGCTGGTTGCTGCGCAGAGCTTCCCCCCAGGCATCCAGGGAGATATTACCGACGCTCTGACTTCCCCAGACCGGTGGAGCTCGCCATCAGTGGGGGTCAGCTGGGGAAGTCGGAGCGTCGGTAATACCCCCCTAGATGCCTGGGAGAAGCTCCGCTCAGCAGCCAGCTGGTTCCAGCATTCAGCAGCATGCAGCCTTGTCGAGATCCGCACACTTCATGAATCTGAGTTGCTGGCACTGACTGATGACATTGACAGAAAGCTGTGCCAATCTAGTCAAGGCTGCATGGGTGAAGGAAAAAAACCTGGTACAAAATAGCCCTCTTGCCACTACACGTAGCGTAGCCCATTACCTTTCTCTACAGTACAGCAACAATACATACAGTACAGCAACAGTACATACAGTATAGTATACAAATATAACAGTCAAGACCCCATCATGGCTCCACCAGCAAGAAGAAAGAAATATGAAGCCAGTTTTAAACTTAAAGTTGTAAACTTTGCCATGGAACATAATAACTGTGCTGCTGCAAGACAATATGTAGTAACAGAAAAGATGGTTTGGGACTGGAAAGCAAATGTAAAAGCGTTAAAGAGTATGCCAAGGGGTAAGTGTGCATTAAGAAGAGGCACCCCACATTGGCCAGAACTCGAAAAACATGTAGCAGACATGGTGAATGAGCATCGCCAAAACGGTTATGTAGTGACACGAAATAAAATACGTTTGTTTGCACTTCAGTGGGCCAAATCTAACCCAGATCACAGCAACAGATTTAAGGCCACTGTATCCTGGTGTACTAGATTCTTGGAAAGGCATAAGCATTTGAATTAAAATTACCATATTGAAATCAAATCTGATGTTTTTTAATTTTTATTTGGTGTGCGTTGGAAGAGGGGTAGTCTTATACGGCGAGTATAGCCCAAACCCTATATTTTAACAGGAAAAGTAGGGGGTCGTCTTATACGCCCAGTCGTCTTATACGCCGGAAAATACGGTAAGCAAAACGTGCAAAATTGCATCTAGAAAGCATCCCCCCCCCCGTCCATCGTCCATCATCCAATCCACAGGTCTCCCAAAGGTCAGGTGGAATCACTTCTGGCAGCGTCATCCATCAGGAATGTAATGACGGTTGGTCTGACTGCTCCTTTGGAGAAACACTTTCGTTTCTTGGAAAACTCCTCCTGCTTCCTTCCCCCCCTTCGCCCCCACTAACTGTTTCCCACCCGTTTCTTATGGCAGCTGAAGCACTAAAAGCGGAGGCTAACATTCGGCCCCTCTGCAGAAAAGATTTTAGTCCTAGAATAGAAAAGAAGAAGGAAAAAAGGGAAAACAAAATATATACAGGAATTAGGGTTTCTCTGGATATTTGGTGTAGAATTGCTGTACTTTCTTTGGGGCCCGCACATCCCGTTTATTCACCCATTCAGCTTGAGAC